CAGCCGCCTCTGGTGAGACCCCTGCTGCCTCCCCTCGCGGCTCCTCGGCGTGGGCCTGTCCGTTTGCCCGCGCTTGCTGCCCCTGCCCCCACAGCCGTCATCTGGATAGAGCCCCAGCCCCACCACAAGGGGCCAGCCCTGCCCAGGCTCCCAGCCCAGCCCGGGTGCGCCTGCACGGCCGCGGGCCCCTCCTCCCCTCTGGCTGGGGGTGGGGGTGGGGGTGGCGGGAGCAGTGGGCTCCCCGACAGGGGCCCAGACGCCCTCGGGGTGCCGCACAGCCACGGCTGCTCTCTTCCCCAGGGGCCTTTGATCTCTTCAGTAATTTGAATGGTACAATTAAAGACGACTTTTCTGAGTTTGACAACCTCCGAGCTTCAAAAAAAGCAGGTACGTAAGGGTGGTGGCAGTTTCCAGGACGTCCTGTGCGCCTGACCAGCCCGTTACTGCAGGAGCAGTTGTCAGGTCTCAGCATCTGTCTGGTCCTTGCATCTGCTTTGCGTCTAGTCTCGGGGCGTAGCGTCTAGTCTTGGGGCGTAGCATCTGGTCGCAGGAACTACACGGCAGCCACAAGAAGTGTGGTTGAAGTTTCTGTCACCCTCTCCTCCTCTTGGCCACTGCAAAAGCCTACCACTCTGGCTCCCCAGCCAGCATGGCCCCTGCCCCGGGTTTGAGCCACTGTCTCCGTCTGCCTTCCTCCTCCCAACTCCCCAAAGGCTCCCCCTTTTCCAAGCCACCTGCTCTGGGCATGGGCAGGTGTCTCCAACACACCACTGGGGGACAGCTTCCCACCCCCGGCCCCTATCAGGGCCGCTGTGCAGAGATCCACGGTCAAGTCTCCAAGCCTAGCTCCTCCCTGAGTGCCCCTGGGCTGGGAGGGGTAGGATGGGGTGCAGAGAGACTGGACCTGGGGCAGAGGAAGGGCTGGATGCCCTCTTCATGCACCCCTGTGGATCTGGGGACAGAGCCGGGGGCCCTGCCCACATCAGGGCCACACCTCCCAGCCACATGGAGCAACTTCTCTCCTTTCTCTCTCCTCTCTGCCCCTCCCCGTTCCCACGGTCTCCTCCGCCTCCCCCAGCAGGCCTGGCTGGGCTGGTCTGAGGTAGGAGCAGCCTAGCACCCTCACCACCCCTGGGCCCCTCTTGGGGCCAGAGGCAACTTAGAACGTGCTGCTTCCCGCGTCTTTTGCTGCATTCTAAGAGCAACACGATTCTGTGTGTCTCCTCCACGGGCCAGAGCACAACCTAACTGTCCTTGCCCGCCTCTCCGCGCCTCAGGGAAAAGGCCACCTCTGTTAACTGAGCACCTCCCGGGCCTGCGAAATAATTACCCTGATTCTGCAAATGTTCCCACTGTAGAAAGTTTGGAAGAGTTTATGGAAGAGAATGAAAATCATCTGTAATTCCGTACGCACTGGGCCACTGCCTCTCCTTCTGGTACCCTGTCTGAGCTTGTACGTCCAGCCTTTTTGTTGAGCCCATACTTGCCAGAGAGAGTGGAATCCTGTCGCCACCTCTTTAAGGAAATACAGATTGAAAACATTTTCTTGTGACAGTAAAAATTCTTTAGGAAGTATTTATTTCATGGCTACAGAGTATCTCTGTGTGGCTCAGCAGTAAGTTACCAAATTGTTAATTTTGGGAGGACATTTTAGGTTGACTTCAAGTTGTGCTTAAAGTAAATAACGCTGTCGCGAACATCTCTGTGCTTCAGTTCCTGTTCACATCGTGCATCATTCCCTGAGGCTGGGTTCCTAGAAATGGGATTACCAGGCGGAAAGTAGGACCGTTTTTAAGAACCTGGAACCCACTGCCATCTTGCATCCTGGCAGAGCCGTCATGTTGCCACTGGCCTGTCCCAGCAACACCCTCTGTTGGCTGAATTTTTAATTATTTTGCTTGTTACTATTAAGAAATTCATGTTCATTGTAGAGAACTTAGAAAATGGAAATGTTAAAAAAAAAGTCAGTTCCTCCTGTCTAGCCAGCAACCCCAAGTGACATCGTAGTATTTCTGGGGACTGCCACGAGTCCTGTCTGCCCCCTGCTTTTTTCATTTGGTACTTTTTTCATTTGGTCCAGCTCCCTCTCCTCATCCAGTCGTCTTTCCCTGGGCTCTGGGCTTGGGCTGGGTGTGACCTGCCCGGTGCTGATGCTGGTCTCCAGGTGGGGGCTGTTGTAAACCACACTGCGATGACCATCTGCCCTCTGCGCAGGCGCGCGTCCGCGTTGGCTCTGGGTGCGCCAGGCACGCACGCAGGCCGTCGGCCCCACCCTCCGCACTCACCAGCCCGTGTGCATCCTTGTCTTGCAGCCAAGGCGGCCTCTCCGCCCTCCCGGAACAGTGGGACTACCAGCCCCGACCCCTTTGAGTCTCAGCCCCAGACTGTCGCCTCAAGCAAGCCCAGTGGTGCCCGGAAAAACCCCCGAGTCCTTCCTGGGCCCCAACGCGGCCCTGGTGAACCTGGACTCGCTGGTGACCAGGCCAGCCCCGCCAGCTCAGTCCCTCAACCCTTTCCTGCCTCCAGGTATGCTTGCTTCCGGCTGCCGTGGGGCCCGCCCTGCCTGAGAACGGCTCTGGGGCAGGCCTCTGGGCCTTGACCTCTCCACCACGTCTAGGGGGCTCTTCCCACCTCTCTGGGCCTTGTGGGGGGAGCATGGGGGCTGCTGTTCAGTTTGGGGTGGGGGTTGCGGGTTAGGAGGGGAAGACAGCCTCCCTCCTCTCAGCTGAGACCATGAGCAGAAGCTGCCCCCGACTTGGTGCCCCAGCCAGGGAGACCCTCCGGGGGAACCCAGTTCTGGATCGGCTGGAGGGCAGCCATGCTGGGGTGGGGAGGAGCCTGGGTTTGCAGCCCAGTACCCCTTTTCGGGTGGAGTGTAACGGGGCCCTTCTGCTGAGCCCTCCCCCAGGGA